ATCTTTCACATCCGAACCTGTGACAAACTGGCGTCCGCGACAGGACGTGCTGTCCGCTGTGACAATCTATCCTGAGAGGAGGAGGGTGAGCGAGTGAGTTTGCCATGCCGTAGGGAGCGCGTTGTGAGGCTGACGCCGTTGCGGGAGCACACAACCCGGCTTACCGATCGGGAGCAGAGGAGAGGTTCTAGAGTCAGACTATCCAGCAGAGTTTCCGCGCGACTGCAGCCATGGAGCTCCACGAGCTAATAGCCTGCGGAAAGGAACTCGGGCTCAAGGGTTCGTCCCTGAGGGAATGGGTGGACCAAGAGAGAGAGAATACGAGCCGCGAGAGCGCAAGAGCAAGAGAGGAGTGTCGAAGCGGAGCACCGAACCCTAGAGCTGAGGATCAGGCTGCAAGAATTACAGAACGCGTCGCCGATACCTGTTACCAGTAGCTCCGCCGAAAACGGGACCGGGACAACGCTGTGGAAGAGTCCTCAGCGTTGGCTGCCCACCTTCGACGAGAAGAAAGACGACCTTGATGCCTACCTGATGCGCTTCGAGAGACTAGCGAGCGGGCAGATGTGGCCCCGCGAACACTGGGCCACTGCGCTTAGCGTATGCTTGGCAGGGGAGGCACTTGGAGTCTTTTCTAGGCTAACCCCGGAGGATTCTGTCGAATACGATAACGTAAAGAAAGCGCTCCTGCAGAGGTTTCGGTTAACTGCGGACGGCTTCCGAGACAAGTTTAGAAGTGCTAAGCCGGTGAAAGGCGAAACCGGTACACAATATGCGGCGAGGTTGTCTAGCCTGTTTGACCGTTGGGTCGACCTGTCCGGGACGGCGAAGGATTTTGCCGCCTTACGGAATTTGCTACTCACGGATCAGTTCGTTCGGAGCGTTCCGTCAAAAATGTCGCTCTTCTTAAGAGAAACAAAGAGCAAACAGCTAGGCGAAATGGCTGACCTCGCAGACCGATATCTGGAGGCCCAAGAACAGGAGCCGGCCAGGAGAGAGCTAGGAGGCTACACCAGACTCTGCTGCAAGTGAATCTCGACCGACATCGAACGGTCAACAGTACAAGGCCAGTAAACTTCTTAGGAAATGTTTTCTTTGCGGCAGGAGTGGACACCTAGCGGCACAGTGCAAAAGCGGTCAGAAACCGAGCAGCCAAGCTGGGACCTGCCGAAATTGTGGAAAGTTCGGTCACACGTCCAGTCAATGTTGGAACCGGAATGGAGGATCTCAAGTTTCCTGTGTTCAGGCAAGCAGGGAGGAGCCGGACGCAGTATCCGGTCGTGTGAAAGGTGGCTGTGTCGAGCTAAGGGACGGCACCAAGGTGCCAGTGGTAAACGCAGTGTCCGGGACTTCTCGCCTGATGGGGGACATGCCTGTAGCTGCCGGAAAATTACACGGACAAGCTGTCACTGTGTGTGACACAGGCTGCAACACCGTCGTTGTGCGCCGAAGCCTCGTACCAGACGACAAACTGACTGGAACGTCGAGTATCGTGTACTTGGTGGACGGGACTGCAAGGGTCTTGCCTGAGGCCAGGGTGCATGTTGAGACTCCCTTCTACAGTGGGAACGTCGTGGCTCAGTGTATGGAGAACCCTTTATATGACCAGATTTTGGGTAACCTCCCTAACGTGCACGCTCCCAGCGAACCGGAAGCTGGCTGGAATAGAGCGGAGAAAACTGAAATGGGCTTGCCTCACGATGAGAAGCAAGATGTAGAGATTCGTGCCACCGCAGCCATGGAAACAAGGTCCCAGAGACAGGCGGCAAAGAACGCCACCCCGCTGAGAGTGCCCTTAATTGAAGGTGCACCTGCGAAGCCCGAGGAACTTGCGACACTCCAAAAAGAAGACAGCAGTCTAAAGAGGCTCTTTGACCGTGTCGGAAAGATAGCCAACTGCAGAAACTCGGAGGACACAGAAGAGTTTGTCATGTACCGGGGACTGTTGCACCGAGTTTTTCGGACATCAGAGCGGGAATTCTACCAGTTGGTGCTCCCTAGGAACTTACGGGACGGAATGCTTCGTATGGCTCATGACGGCATTTTCGCTGAACACCAAGGGGCAGAGAAAACCGCACTCCGTATCGTCAGCGAGTTTTACTGGCTCGGACTCCAGGCGGACGTCAAACGATTTGTCAGATCCTGTGACAAGCGCCAAGACAACGAGCAGTTATTTCTTGCATCAGCATCGACACATCAGTGGAGGGAAGAGAGTGCGATGGAATCGGCTTGTCTTCAGGCGGAGTGCAATCGCCTGGAAGAGATGATAGCACTTCTGGAAGCTGAGGAGGACCTACAAAAAAGTGCTGATAAGGTATTTGAGGATTTCACAGCACAAAATGAAAGCTCCCAAAGGAGGGAAGCTTTGGAGCCGACAAGTGTCAACGGTTTCAGTCCATTGGTAAAGATTGGTGGCCAGATGAGAGGCGCGGATCCGTCCTTTGGCGATTCAGAACTCTATCCCAGGTCGACTACGGAAGCTGAAGCTTCAGGCCTGACGAACCCAGGGGACACTGAGGTGCACCCCGTGGTTTTAGGTATAGGTGCTAAGAAAAACACAACGAGTGCTAACAGAGGGAAGCATGAATCTATGGGTGAAAAAATTAAGCGCGAGCTTCGTTTGAAATGCAAGTCAAACACTCAAAGAATGTGGCTAAGGCAGCGCAAAGGAAAGGTCATCAGGCGACGAGACCGCTCGCCAGTCAGAGACCGCCATGCAGTAGAAACTTTATCCAAAAGACAGAGCACGTGCTATGCTAACGTGAAAATCTGGATCACCTGGAATGGGAGAGATCATGCGAAGTTTACCTTTAACTCTGAGATCTGGTTGAGAGTCACAGTAAGCTGGGAACACAGAAGGCCAAGGCTTGGAGGTTAGATGAGTAATCAGTGAATTGCATATCTCATCAAAAGATTAAGACTGGGTTCTCTCGTAACCGGTTGTGCTAATTACTCCGAAAATATTTTTTGTTTTTTGCTTTCATAAGTTCGTGAATTTTTGTTATGGTACTACAAAACTGAGTGTTATCGTTGCTTGTCAAACTTTCAGATTGCTGATGTGTTACGCAAAGACATTGGAAAAGCGAATCGAAAGTTTCTCGATAGCTGGGTCACAAAGTGATTTTTGATACATTCGAATCTGTGTGCACCTAAGTGAAGTGTCTTCTGTGTGGTCTAGAATTAGTGTGTACTGAGAAAGCTGCAGAGTGAGTTAGTTCTTTAGCAGAGTTCAAACTGTTTCTTTTTATGTAGACTATGAATATATTTTGAATGGTTGGGGTGAATTACTGTTACTGATTGCATTGTTTCAGGACGTGCTTGAGGAATAGCAGTGGTAAAACGTGAAAAGATAGTGCGCATTGAATTTTGTGATTATTTTTTTTTAAATATTCCTGCGTGAATATTTTTTGAAATAAGGGGTAGTGTCACAGAATTCAATAGCTACTTTTGCTTTTCAATGGTTATGTTGTTGTCCGTTGCCGTGTTTGTGAGTGGGGTGCGCGAGCGCCGAGGACAGGAGCACGAGCTTAGCCCGCGCGCGCGAGGTTTTGTGGAACACACCGCGGGGCAAGGTTGCGACGGTGTGGATGGTCGGCGCTGAGCAGGTCCGCGGCGTTATGGTTCTTCGAACACCGAGAAGGTATTCGACGGAGAGGGGTGTGAGTGCTTGTGAGTGAGTACTGTGCGTCACGACAACACCCAAGCCACCATGGCTTCTCGACCCCGACTGGCGGCGCAACGAACCGGACCTCCACCTGCACCTTGGAACGCTGACTCGGCTCTCCCCCTCCAAAACTGTATGACAACCTCGATTGAACTTTTGATATTTTTTTTCTTTCATTCTTTCGAATGTGTGTACGTCCTGTGCGCCTTTCCCTTACTTTAGAATTATTTTATATAAAATACTGTTCGTAACGTCGGCATGCTTTGCTCTCACTTCCTCCCGCCTCTCAGGATGTCTATCGCCAAGGTGTGGTCCTAACACCTGGACAGCGGTCCAAGTCAAATTCCAAATTTGTTTCTTTAAACGGGATCTTTCACATCCGAACCTGTGACACCATCATAGTAATATGGCGAACAGCGCAATGGCGGCAGGCTGCCATAAAATAGCCGTAGATCTAGTACACTGTACCGTGGGTGACATTTCGTGCTTGATTGAAGTTGTTCGACGAAGCAGATTCTTGAAACCCGGCGTGAACGGTAGCCTCATCTTTGAGGACCCGGAGAAAGTTCTACGAAAGCGCAGCACCGGGGAAAAGCAGCGCAGCTCGCATCAAAAGCAGACTCCGTACCGTCGTCTGCTTTCGATGCTTCTTTCGATGCGACTTTCGATACGTGCTGTGCTGCTTTTCTCCCGGTGCTGCGATTTTGTGAAACTTTTACCAGGTCCTCAAAAACCGGACTACTGTTCACGCCGTGTTTCAAAACATGTTTCGTCAAATAATTTTAATCAAGCACGCAATATCACCCACGCTATTTTGACCAACCCACCTGCCAAAACGCTATCTACCATGGATGGATGATAGCGGCTGCAGCAGCTTACATTGGCTAGAGGTGATATAACTCTACTTAAAGATGGCCGCCAGTGACCGCATTCGCGGAGCGGGCAAACGCGATCCAGAGATCAGTGGGCGCCACTATAATAGAGATCAGTGGTGGGCGCACAGGTCAACGAGCTCGTTGGCACAGGTCTGCTTCCACTGCATTGCCAAGAAAAGTTCTTGTGGCGTGGCGTGACAGATTTCTAGTCAAAACATAAGGAAAGCTTCTTTTAAGATGATATTGACGTGATCTATTCTGTTAATATACCTTTGAGCAAGAATTAAAGCAAAAATTAAATTGTTAAAAAGGCATTTTTGCGCTGTGCTTTGGCTTTAGCGGTTTTTGGGATTCCGACTGCGGGTTTTCAATTTTTGAGTTGGCAACACTGCAGTCAATGTTTCCGTTTCCGGTAGATTTGTTTTTTGGTGTTGGCCGCGCTGTTTAGACTTGGTTTTGGACGCTCACTGGGGTTTCACGCTTTTTGTTCTTTTCTCGCGGCATGACATTCGTTGTCTTCCATCCGATCCAGGTAATTTGCTTGTTCACATTCGCCACGCGGAGACGACCGCCGCGACCTTCGCCACTGTCTCGGTTGTGCCTCTGCACCACGCTGTGCAGTAGAGTGACTGTACTGTGCACGATCATGATCCATGCGGGCTCTTTTTATTTTTATTTTGCACCAAACTTGCTTCGTTTACTGCTATTCCGCTTTAATCTTCTTTCACGTCTATGTTGTCGACTTTTCAGGAGGGGCCCCAATGTGTGTTCGATGCCGCGTGCCAAGCCAGACGGACGGCACTGCCTGAACGGTGTTTCCACAACAAAGCTTGGCACCATGAGGGCGTCGCCGATGTGGATTTGATGGCCCTTGAATCCAGCGGGGCCAGAAATCATGCCCCCCAGTCGCAGAGGTACACACTTCCGCCAATTCGCGGAATGTTTGGTGTTGCTTTCGAGACCTTTTGGCACATCCCCAAAAAGAGAATAAACTTTTTTCAAAGTGTAAAGCCATACGCACTACGTCGTCCACCTCGACCGGAGATGGCTATACGCACTACGCGCAACTCGTATAAAACGAATGGTTACAACTCGTTTCCGATTGAACCCAGGGGTCCTGGGTTCAATCCCCAGGGCCCCTGCCCGTTTCGATCTGGATGAGCATCGTATCGGCGTGCGGTCGTGTATTACTGCTGCGTGGTGCACGTTAAAGACCCCAGGCCAGCGGTTGTACTTCACTGGCTAAATTGCTCATCTACAGTGAGTGACTCGTCGCAACTTTGAAATGGCTGACCCAACTACACGCTGTATAAATGTACACAACCCCCATTTATTTTTTCCAAAGGGGTGGTGTAGCATAGTGATTTTTTATTTATTTATTTATTTATTTCATAATACTATCAGTCCCCCAGTGGGGACTATGATAGGAGTGAGTACAAAAAACAGTAGACAATGTAATACACATGCAGAACACAATGACAAAAAATGAAGGACTATACGACACCTAATACTCATATCAAAAGCAGAAGGTACAGCAAAAATGATAACAGGAGGTCTATTAGTTACATGGGAGACACTTTGTAAAATCAAAAACCGTTTTGGATATAACAACGCTTTCAGGAAGTGTATTCCATTCCCTTATTGTCCGAGAGAAATACGAATTCTTGAAACATTCTTTGTTGAATCTGTACTCTTCGATTGTCCTAGTATGCTTATTACGTGTGATTCTAGATAGATGGGGTTTGATGAATTGATATTTATCAATCTGCAGTGTGCCATCTAAAATCATAAAAAGCATTTTTAAACGCTTATTTTTTCTCCTCTCTTCTAATAAGGAAATGCTTGCCTTAGAATAGAGCTCAGTTGGTGAATCCAGTCTTCTGTACTTCGAAAAAATGAAACGCAGTGCCATTCTTTGAACTTTTTCTAATTTCAATATTAAACCTTTTGTGTGAGGATCCCAAACTTCACTAGCATACTCGAATCTAGGTCTTATTAGCATTTTATAAGCTAGCAATTTAGTTTCAGTGGTTGCCAATTTTAATGATCTTCTTAGTGACCAGAGTTTAGCTGTGGCTTTTTTTACTATATTACTGACATGTTTGTTCCAACTTAAATCACTGGTTATTGTTACTCCTAAATACTTAAATTCATCTACCCTAGACAAAGGTTCACTCTTCAAGTAGTAGTTATACACAGAAGGAACTCTCCTATGCGTTATTGACATGCAAACTGTTTTGTCAGTATTTAAAGACATTTGCCAGATCTCGCACCATTTGCTAATTTTCTGCAAACAGTCGTTTAGTTCAACATGGTCAGAATCACCGTTTATGTAAGTATACAATATACAATCATCAGCAAAAAGTCGTGCCTTTACTGTAATATCGCGAAGAACGTCATTAATAAAAACCAAAAATAACAGGGGCCCAAGTACAGAACCTTGGGGGACTCCCGAGTCGACCCCGCAAGGCATGGAAGCGTGACCATCAATGCTCACAAATTGCCTTCTACAAAACAAAAACATTTCTATCCATCGCAGAACTTTCGTGTTTTTTAGTAAATGCTTGAGCTTTAAAAGTAATTTATTATGGTTTACCTTATCGAATGCTTTTTGAAAGTCTAAAAAAATTACATCAATCTGACCTCTTCTGTCAAGGGCAGAAGAAAAATCGTGAATTAATTGTGTTAATTGAGTTGTGGTAGACAGGCCTTTTCGAAAGCCATGCTGTTTTTCATCAAGAACAGAGTAGGTATCTAAAAACATCCTTATATGCTTTGAAACAACATGCTCAAGTATTTTACAACAAGTAGATATTAATGATATGGGTCTATAATTCGTGACCTTACAGGCATTTCCAGTCTTAAGAATAGGTATTATTTTGGCCAGCTTCCAGTCATTGGGAACGGACCCATCTGAAAGCGATTTATTAAAAATGATCGTGAGATATTTTGAACACCGTTCGCTATAACGCCTTAAAAATTGATTATGAATGTCATCCGGTCCGGCGGCTTTCTTTGGATCGATAAGAAGTAGCTGTGAAAAAATTCCTTCCTCTGAGACCTCCACGTCTTCGATTGGGGGCACATTCTCAAACAAACAAAATGTTGGTAAAATGTTATTACCAGCGGAAAAAACACTGACAAAATATTGGTTAAAGCAATTCGCAATTTCAGTTTTGTCCTCAATCACTTCTTCTTCTACTATCACTTTGGTAATTACTTTCTTACTTGGTTTTAATTGTCGCCAAAACTTCTGTGGTGAATATCTCAAAAAGTTTTGCATTTTTACATTAAAGAAAATCGTTTTCGAAGTTTTTATTTTTGCTTTCAGCTCTTTGCTCAGTGACTGTATTTTTGCCTGCTGGAACCCGTCGTGTTTTTTGCATGCTCTTGCTCTACACCTTGACAATCGTCGTTTGTGGTGGATTATGTCCCTTGTAATCCAAGGACTGTTCAAGTTTTCTTTTCTTATTTCCACTGGGACAAACTTACGAGTGCATTCAAGTATCATTTCCTTAAAATTGAGCCATAGGTCATTCACTTCTATCAACGGGTTGCCAGCTAGGTGCTCGAAGTTATCATAGTTCAGGCTAAGTTGATCAATAACTGACTCGTCATTGGCTTTTTGAAAGTTTTTATACGAAGTAATTTCAATTCTCCTGAGCATAGGCTTTAAGGACAACGTAAAATCTACAGTGCTGTGGTCCGAAACTCCCGGGCTAATCTTGCAATCATACGCGTGGTTTATAAGGTTCTCATTTATAAATATTAAATCCAAAAGAGCTTCTGATTTCCCTTGTATTCTAGTATGTCCCTTAACAATTTGAGTTAAATTATGTGAGAAAACTATATCTAAAAGTTCCTCAGCACATGATACTTCGTGGTTCCCAGATCCTAACGTTACCCAGTCAATTCCACCGAGATTGAAATCTCCCATTAAAACAACCTTCTTGGAACTTACTTTCAGTTTAAAAAGGAACTCACTTAAATCTCGCAAATATCCACGTGGCATTTGCGGGGGTCGATACAGTACTCCCACAATTAACTCACTTTTTTCCATTTTGATGCTACACCATACATTTTCTATGCCTGGAGCTCCCTCGATTTCTGAAGAATTTAAACAAGATTTGATTACTAGAGCAACACCCCCTCCTCTACTTTCTCTGTCCTTTCGATAGAGCACGTAACCGGGAGGTATTATGATATCATCTGTCACAGACGAGTCTAACCAGGTTTCAGTGATAGCTACTACATCGGGGTCATGCTCTATTAAAATATGTTCTAGCTCGAGGGTTTTATTTATGATACTTCTTGCATTAAGGTTAATAAATAGGACACTGTTTGCCTGTGGGAAATCAGATGCCTGTCAATTATCATGCTCGGGTGAAGGTACTTCTCTGGCTGAGTAAAGTTCAACTCTCTGGTTTGTATCTACTTCCCATGCGTAAGTCACTCCATTAATCTTCAATTTATCATACGCTAAGTATACCTTCTCTCCCCTTTGCCTGTTTTCTTTCGCACTGTCCCACAGTTTTTTCCTTATCATTCTAACATTTTTCGAAAAGTCCTCGTTAATAAATATGCGCGTTCCTTTTAATTTTTTAGCATTTCTGAGAATATTTTGCCTTTCATTGTAGTTTCCAAAGCGCAAGATTACTGGTCTCGGTTTACCCCTAGCCACCCTTCCGAGACGGTGAATTCTTTCGAGAGATTTAACTTCAACACCCATTTTTGTTTTAAAGAAGCCTTCCACCACTTTTTCCACCAAATGTTGCTCCGTTTCTGCGTCCTCTACTCCGTAGATTACCAAGTTATTTCTCCTACATCTATTTTCCAAGTCATCGATCTTTGACTCGAGCTTTACTACGGTCGCTTCTAAGTGCACTAGTTTTCCTTGTGTGTCATTTAGCTCCCTACTGAGATCCTTTATCTTGGAAGTAGACGCTTCAATAGCCTCTAATCGTTTTTCAAAGCTTTTCTGACCCTGTACCAATGTTGATATGTTAGCCGCCATCTCTTTCTGACTTTCCAGTATTTCCCGCATTGTATCTCTATCTGGGCCAGGATTTTCTTCAACATCTCCTCCCCTTAAAAGCACGAGTGCTCTCCAGCGACAATCAACAATGGCAACAAGGAGCAGTTTCACGAGCCTTGGGCAAGGCAACAGCAATAAACAACGGTCATCTGAGCGGTACGAATAATCATCAAATTCTCCACATACCTGCGTACAAGGGAAAAACCATTTATGCGACATGTCAGGCTTGCTGTCGCCTTGCCCACTGATCGCTGATCCGTGCAGCTGTGCCTTTATAGCCCCGAAGGCCGACGTTGAAGTGCCTCCCAGGATTTTCATTTGCCGATCAAACACGTGACTGTAGTCCTTGTCATTGTGCACTCGGTGACGAGGTGATGCTGTAATCTGGGTGACGAGCACTTTAGTTGCCGCGTAGTCCTGTAGGCTGATGGTCCCCAGTTGATTGTGTCCGCGCGTGTCCTCCGTTGGTGATGAACTGTGGTGCGACAGCAGTAGCAGCAGCAAAAACTGCGTACAAGGGAAAAACCATTTATGCGACATGTCAGGCTTGCTGTCGCCTTGCCCACTGATCGCTGATCCGTGCAGCTGTGCCTTTATAGCCCCGAAGGCCGACGTTGAAGTGCCTCCCAGGATTTTCATTTGCCGATCAAACACGTGACTGTAGTCCTTGTCATTGTGCACTCGGTGACGAGGTGATGCTGTAATCTGGGTGACGAGCACTTTAGTTGCCGCGTAGTCCTGTAGGCTGATGGTCCCCAGTTGATTGTGTCCGCGCGTGTCCTCCGTTGGTGATGAACTGTGGTGCGACAGCAGTAGCAGCAGCAAAAACTGCGTACAAGGGAAAAACCATTTATGCGACATGTCAGGCTTGCTGTCGCCTTGCCCACTGATCGCTGATCCGTGCAGCTGTGCCTTTATAGCCCCGAAGGCCGACGTTGAAGTGCCTCCCAGGATTTTCATTTGCCGATCAAACACGTGACTGTAGTCCTTGTCATTGTGCACTCGGTGACGAGGTGATGCGGTAATCTGGGTGACGAGCACTTTAGTTGCCGCGTAGTCCTGTAGGCTGATGGTCCCCAGTTGATTGTGTCCGCGCGTGTCCTCCGTTGGTGATGAACTGTGGTGCGACAGCAGTAGCAGCAGCAAAAACTGCGTACAAGGGAAAAAACATTTACGCGACATGTCAGGCTTGCTGTCGCCTTGCCCACTGGTGTCCGCTTCATACGCAGCGGGCCTCGGTTCAGTCGCCACTGTGGTCATACTTTTTTTTTCTTTCTAGAACATTTTTTTGTCCAGCATTTTGGTGATATTTGACATTTCTTTTTTTACAATTAACACTGAAAAAAAAAAAAAAAAAAAAAAAAAAAAAAAACTTGTTGATGAAATTTTGCAGAACTAAATGGTATGGGACTCTCTTTCCGGAGGTGCAACCAGGGACAGTGGGGCTTGGGTTGCCAGCTGGATGCAGCAAAGCGGTGTGTACGGGTTAAGTTTTGTAACTAGTGGTCGCACACTGTCGCGGCGAAGCGGCATGAACGCTGGCGGTGGGATGGGTTAATGCGCTCACCAGTGATACACGCGCTGTCCGAAAAGGGTGACCCAAAGGGCATGAGCTCTCCGCGTAGTGCGTATAGCCATTTCCGGTCGAGGCGCACGACATAGTGCGTATCGCTTTACTCCTTTTCAAAACTCTGAGCCGTCAAAAAAGAAGTCCAATATTTCCGCTCTAAGGGCTCATTCGCACTGGAAGCGGATCCGCGTTCGCAAAGCGGTTGCGAACGCGGTTGTATAAGGATTCAGTACAATTGCACGCGCACACGATGACATCAAATGCGCGTGCAATTGCACTGGATCTTTATACAACCGCTTTCGCAACCGCTTCGCGAACGCGGATCCGCTTCCAGTGTGAATGGGGGGTAATGGCGGCGATTGAAGGACAAGATAGCCTAACTTCAAGCACCCTCAACTTTAGTGAATCGAAGGCGACGTAACAAGGACGGACTTGGTAGAGAAAATTCCCAGTCTCCTGCTCTTCCAGAGACGTCCGCTTGTCTTGCTGTGGAGGAGCTTCATAATGTCGTCCTTACCGCTTTGGCACAAGACAGGGCGTGTAGACAGACTTTTCAAATGGGTCGCTTTGCCAAGGTGTTTAGATCATGTGCTGTCCGTTGTTAATTTTGAAGATTGTAAGCTTTTGATGATTGATGAGATCGGAAATGCTTAAGAAGCTCATCATTATTAAAGAGAAGTACAATGCTAAAAAGTTGTCTTTTTTTTTTTTTTTTACGAAATTGGGGGGTGAAAGATAAGCCATATTGGGCAAAAAGGTGAACTTTCGGGAGCTGAAATTACATCGCCGTGGCTGAATTGAGCCGACAGACTTTGCGTCATTGCTTGAGGTAATCATTGTGAGTGTTTGTGCCACCACCGTCCAAGTTTGTATATGTACCAGGCTGTCTACAAGAAGTCCGCGAGGCCTGCCAGGGTGATTGGGGAAGTGATGTTTGGTCTGCACTCAGTGTTGCTGGCGCTGAAGACGGGCAGGCGGGAGCCGCTCTCTCTGCACATCCGGGGCAGCAAGTTAAAGTTCCGGAGCGTCATTGCCCTGGACAGAGATGCTGGGTCTCGCTGAGCAGCGGGAATTGGCACCCAAGCGGTCTTCCCTCACCAATCTTGACTACCTCACCACGAACAGAAGCCATCAGGTGAGTCGGAGGACTCGCTGCATCGGGCAGTGGGTGCTTCTGGGTTCGTCTGGAGTGGAGCCGTCGAGTGAGGTACACTTAGGGCAGGGGGGGCCAGATGGACGTATGTAATAGACCACAGAAAAAGGACTATTTGATGTGAAGAGTAAAAGTAAAACGTGGCTGTTTTTTTTTTTTATGTCTTTTGTCTCAGTTAGTGGCCACAGCGAATTCCATTCATGAAGCGATTGCTCGTTATGTCTTATTGCACATCCCCATTCGTGAAACAAGCGCCTTGCTCGGCGTACATATGGTGTGTGGTGCAATGCTGCCTGAACGCAAGTCGTCTTCAATAACTCTTTCCTCTACTCTGACGAGGGGCGTATGTTTACCAGGGAGCTGCATTCAGACACGCGATCAGCTACACGCGACTTTCGAGCCACAGTTTGGCCATTCCTGGCTGAGACCTTGGGTTCCAAAAGTAAACTGCATTTCTAGGAACCCCCCAGAGTACAGTCAAGGGTCCCCCAGCTCGTAAAAGTTCCCTCGGCCGTCCCCGCCCCCAACTGAAGTGTTCTCTAGTTTAAGCACTATTTTAGAAGATTGGAGGCAATAGCTGAATCATAACTATAAGCCAAGCACTCCCAAGTGTTACCATTGTCGTTTGCAAAATCTGTAGGCTCTTTCGCCGCTTCATTGCATTCACGCATAGACGAGGAAGGGTTCCTTTACTACGTAGAGGTCGCCGCCGATCGTATTTCATTAGTTCTGTCGCCAGTCAGTGGTGCCACCTGGGCACTCCTCAGTATACACCGACACGCTGTTCACAAAGAAGCCCGCGTTTGCCTACACCAGGTGTGGGCACTGCGCATGCGCAGAAACCAAATTCACGTGAAGTGAAGCGTCTGCGCACACGCAGTACCGTCGACAATGCCACCGCAGCTGCGTGACGTCAGGGCCGCGTGCTGGTCTATAGAAGCATTTGAGAACATCCTTCTCCATCACTGACAGGATGAGAACTTGGGAAGGCCAGCGCAAGCTTCCCACCTTTGGCAGTGCTTCCGCACCTGTTGAGCCACGAGCGTGCACGTGCAGCTGAAGCATGACTAAAGGCAGCGAGCGCGTGCCTGAGGTCGGGTGTCCAACGAATTGTGTTCCAAATCTCACCCAAGTCGATTCGAGTTACTCCGGTGGGTCGTGTCACGTGACAGCACAGACTAAAAGGCGCTGGACGTAGGTAGGTATTAGAATGCCAAGGTCCAAAACCCTTACCCCGGAGTAAGATGGAGTGAATTTTGAAACACGGCCACGGAGACGCCGTTCTCGTCTTCTCGGTTGGCGCAAACGAGCAGTCTCTATTTTTTGTTTGTTTTACAATCTCAAGGCTGTTATCAATACTAATAGTGGGCTGTTAAGAGCATGTTTTAGGTACTAACCTAAGCGGTACAACTCGGTGCCTACAATTGCATTCTTAAATTTTTAGAAAGGACCAATGTCATATTTGCACCAAATGTCGGTTCGCACATCCATCCCAGCGCTGAGACGGAGCCGATTCACTGCTGCATCATCGCCAAATTTGTGCTGCATTGTGTGTGTGAACGGGACAAGACTGGGTCTTTAGTTCAAAGTCAGTGCTATGTCTGTACTGCCGAGTTGGCGTACGTGTAAACAGGCCTTAAAAGTATCGTGTAGTGTACATCTTTGCGAGTTTAGGGGTGTCGACGACGGCTTGCCTCTTGATGTGGCTGCAGGACCCGACGAACTTGGGCGCCATGCTGAGGTCCTCCTACTACGCTTGGGGGTTCAGAGGGTCCTCCCACTACGCTTCGGGGTACAGAAGGTCTTCACGACAAAGACGACGACGGACAGGTGGGCTCACTTCCTTGCCACCCTTTGCTTGACGGGTGCTAGGAGGCCTTGTAGCATTTGTATTTGTTGTCGGGGCTGGGTGCCATCTGAAACATTTGCAGGGGTGGTCCAGCTGCGCCAATTGCGCCATTTTGATAAATTCTCCTTTACCTGCGCCTTGCTGCGCCTAAAGACACAAATTGCGCCAAAAAGGGCTAGTCGGTCCGTGAACGAATCCTTTTTTGGAAGAATGGCGTTTTCGGCTGGCAACCCGGGGGAGTTTTGTTTTCTAGGCTAGGTGGTGCTAGAGCACTATAGACCTATATAGTGCTCTAGGTGGTGCAAGCAGGTGCAAGCTGCCGCCCGATATAAAGGGTAGAGCCGTTACCATAGCCATCACAATCCAATTCAGGTTTCCGGCCCAGTGGCATTATTGCGCATTATTGTTTTGTTGCGACCGTTTTGATATGCGGCGTTGTGGCTGTTCATTTCTGCATCGCCACTACTAAGTCCTCTTAAAGAGGAGCCAACGTGAGTAGTTTTTTTTTTCTGCATGCGCGTTTTAAGTTACAGACCCCATAGTAGAAATTTGCTCGGACGCTCGTTCACCGGCAGACCAGCGGCATCAATACCGAACGTGGTACTCTTTTCGATCGCGTGGTCGTAGCTTGATTTCCTTGTTGCGAATTGTTGCGTGTTCCTTTTCATGTCAAATGCCGTAAACGATTGGTCACCCCTTGGTTGTCATACTGTCGCACTGCGTGCGAACTCAGAATGGAGCTTACAAACATGTTTAATAAATCGCTATAGTTTCGGACTTTCGGCAGCCGTAATATATATATAATAATAAAGACATGGCACAGAACTGCTCTATGTTCATGCTGCTCCAAAATGTTTAGTTTTCCTGATACCAAGGTGCTCCAAAACGAGCTTTTCCCTGCTCCAAAAGGGGAGTTTATGTGATACGAATTGCTCCAAAATTGGGTTTTTCTTGCTCCAAAAATTGCTCCAAAACCTAAAATGGCTGGACCACCACTGCATTTGCAAGGATTGATGAATGGACTTCTTCCAAAACCAAAGTGCCCCATCGCGGCGAAATACCACGCGGTGCACTCTGGGAACTAGTTGGCCACTCAGTTTCGGTTTCGACTGAGCAGCTCCATCTCGTGCTATTGCGCCGCGACCGAACGCGATGCTTGCGTTTTCGATTATCTGACTTTTCACGAACATACAATACACTCATTCTCGAGCGATACAAAACGAAGACCGGGGCACTTTCCTTGGTTCCCAAAGCACCGGATATTGTGTGTGCGTATGCAAACGTACTAAGACGTGGCTTAGTCACCTCACCTTTGTGTTCAATTTCAATAATCCCCTCTAGTACCAGTGAGCTACAACTGAAATTTGGTCACCTGGTTCCTTACACATATTTTGTTTGCCAAACGTCTTCTTGTTACTTCATTGGGCGAAAAGCGAACTGCATCCTCCCAGGAGTATCAAAGTTGAGCCCAGCGTTGACGCATGAACTTTTAAGGAAACGCAATAAATTCGACCTCACTACTGCACCAAAGTTATATGATGTCTTCCTCGTGTCATCATATATCTCCCACTCAAATTTTATGCTGATAGAAGATTAATTTTCACAAACGCTGAGATTGGCTAGCTACGACGAAGGCCCTAACAAGCGTCGCCTACTCCTCGCTAAGCCTTTTTGGACGAGCTTTTACTGACGCCCAGGATCTGTGCCTGAACGGTGTGTCTGAAATTATCTTGGTATACTCAGACAGGAAGAAAGCAAGCACATAACAAATATTATGGCCATTAGCAACCGTCAAATGCACTTTGAATAATTTCGTTCGTTTGGCGCACCGCAAAGGGGTTCATGCCCGTGCGGCGTAGTTCTGGTGAACGGTGCGACATTTTTTACACAAGTGCTCGACTTTTGCTTTCTTGAAACGGTTTGTATGTGCGAATATGCCTATACGATTGCAGGATAACGTTATGCGCATACGCAATGTTGAATAGACACAAAAAGAGATCCTTAAAAAGGTCAACGAAATTCAGGTAAAACAAGACACTTCGGAAATCAATATACAGAAGCTGCAAAACAGGCTGGACACGATTGAGGAAAAATTACAAATGGTCGATGAAACTAGTGGCAGGCTTGGTCAAATTGAAACCAGGCTTACCGGTCACGATCACGAAATTACTTCTTTTTACAAACAAATCGACGATCTTGAAAATCGATCCCGGAGAAATAATTTGATAATTAGAGGTATTAGTGAAGCAACACCCGAAACGGAAGAAGTCCTTGTGAGAAGCGTAACTCATGAGGTATTTGATGGTATACTGAAAGTTAAGGTTGATTCCATTGAAAGAATTCACAGACTTGGGAGGCACATACCCGGTAGAATTCGGCCTGTTATTGTGAAATTAACTGACTTTCGGGATAAAATGAAAATTCTTAACAATTGCTCCAAACTAAAGGGTACCCAAATCAGCATTAACGAGGATTTCTCAAAAAGAGTCGTGGAGATACGCAAGCACCTGTGGAACTCTACTGCAGATGAAAGAAAGGAAGGCGCAAAGGCTAGATTGGTTTTTGATAAGGTCAAAATAAACAACGTTCTCTATGCCTGGGACGAGGTTAGAAACGAAAGATATCGGTGCTCATCATATCCGAGTACGCAGGATAAGGATCAATGAAGTCACAACAAAGCACGCTTTAAACTAATTAACATAAATGCCCGAAGTATTGTAAATAAAGTTGACCTAATTGAAAGCATTGTTCTTGAGCACGAACCCGACGCTATGGTGATTACAGAAACGTGGCTACATTGCAATATTTTAGACAGTGAAATTACACCACCAAATTATACCATAATTAGAAAAGATAGGGAAGCACGTGGCGGAGGCGTAGCAATTTTGATCAAAAGCGATATTGTATTTACTGTACTGGATGAGGTTAAAGATATCGAAGCTCTATGGGTCCAGATTAGAATGAATGACCGGGTTATAGTCCTAGGCGGTGTATACAGACCTCCCAATTCCTCAGTTGAATTTTTAGTGAAGTTGCGACAGTATGTGGACTCTGTAATATGTCATAATAAAAACATCTTGTTAGTAGGCGACTTTAACTTACCAGGCATTGACTGGAGTACGCTTTCGGTGGGAACAACAGACGGAGCCAGCTGCGAGCAACTACTGGAAATTGCATTTTGTTATAATTTATCTCAAGTTGTCACAGAACACACAAGAACGACTTCTGCTGCATCATCATTACTTGACTTAATCTTTGTTTCCACAAACCTAACACCCCTTCTTTCGGAATGTGAACTTTTTGAAGGCATCTCAGATCACAAAATGACATGCATGACGCTAAACTTCAGCCCTTGCAGGCTTGGTCGCCCTCCGCATAAAAAGGTTCTTAATTTTGAGGCAGCAGATGACGTTAGCATTTTAGATTATCTTGAGAAATCGCTTCACGACTTCCAGTCACTCCACCAGTTAGATGCTGCTACCGAAGTTTTGTGGAATTTTTTTGCTGATGTGACAGCACACTGTATTAGTTTATTTGTGCCTACGCGTATCAAAATAATAAGAACTAAGAACCCCTGGATCACTAGAGAAATTATTCATGTAAAAATAAAAATAAAGCGATGTCGGAAAGCTAATGCAATTAAACCAAATGACTCTAGGAAAATGACACTGCAAAGCTTGAGTCACCATCTGAAGAGGCTTGTTAAAGATTCCAAGCATAAATTTTACAATGTCACTCTTAAGAAATTTATTATAGAAACTTGGAGAACATAATAGCGCTTCACGACAGGGACGAAGGGTAGGAACGAGACAACACAATGCGCTAACTTCAACTGGTTTAATCGTCAGAAAATCAAAGGTATAAATACTCTGCATCATCGCGCCATTCAACCAATCCCAAGCCACGCCACTGATCGCAAGAACTGTATCTCTTTGTCTGCCAAATCGATCGACGCCACGCTGACACATCGATCCCCGTAGTTTCTTATCAGGTCCGCCTCTATAATTTCCCTTACCGTCTTATCTCTATGTTTTCTAATGACAGTGCACAAATTAAATTCAGGTTTGCAGCCACAGTCATGGCCTTGCATGGACAAATGACCGTCACGCTGTCCGCTCACTTTTAGGTTGTGCTCGCGCAATCTGTCATTTAGACATCTTCCCGTCTGTCCAACATACTTTTTACCGGACGTCAGCGGGATCTCATAAACGACGCCATCTGCGCAATCTACAAATGGGCTGCGATGCTTTTTCACGCAGCCAACCGGTGGTTTGCGGTAAGGGTCCGTCATTTTGCACAACTTGGCAAGTTTTTCGGGTGCAGAAAAAACCACCCGAGCGTTTAGGCGGTTTGCTATCCTTTTGAGATTGTGTGCCGTTTTGTGCATGTAAGGCACAACCGCCACTCTTTGTTTCTTTTGGGCCACATCCTGGTCTGGACTCGCTACTACTCGTAGCTTCTTTAAAACCTTTTCTGCAACCGACACCAGGAGCGTTCCCGGGAAACCGGCAGCCACCAAGCGTTCTGACTGCTCCTTCAGACCTGAAGGCATCGCATGATGACACGACCTTCTGATGGCGTTCACAAAGCACAAATTTACAATTCCTCTCTTGACAAGTTTTGAATGGGATGAATTGAAAGGCAACAGGGGCTTATTTGCTCTTGGTTGGTATTTCCAACACACATGTTGCTCCGAAAGTGTGAGCCTGATATCTAAAAACTGTATGACGTTGTCCACAGGTACCTCGTGCGTAAGCTTGAGAGGATCTAGGACGGTACTAAAAACTGTTAAAAGGCTGTTCACCACCGAGGGAAAGTGAGAAACGTCATGGGGAAGAAAAACTAAATAATCGTCGACGAATCTAAAAACCTTACTACGTACCATTAAAGTCATTCAGGCGTTCCGAGAGAACTCTGTCATGATGGGCTAAAAATATATCGCTTAAAACTGGAGCTAAACACGAGCCAATACACACCCCTC